GCTTTGGTTAACTTGTTTTGAAAACGTTGTTCGCGTCGCTGTCTTTACATTACTCCAGTTTTGACGCCTCCGCCTACGTATGCTTTCGCTTGTGTTATTTTATTTATTTTTTTTATTATTTCTTATCGCGCGCATCTTCGACCGAATTCACGATTAGATAAGGACGCTTTACCCTTTGTCTCCGTCGTTAGTGGGACGCGTTTGAGAAATGTTTCATCCACGCGTTTTTATCGCTGGCCATTGTGCTGTACCAAGAAAAATAATAGGAGCCTTGAATGAGTTTTCGAAAGATTAATATCTATACGTGTACAAGTGTCTCGAGCTAACTTGGGGCGGGGAACATGTACACATCGACTTGCTGCGCTAGATTGAAACACATGTTTCGCACCAAGTGTTTTGATTGCGGGTGTGCTTGTTTGAAGGAAAAAAAAAAAGAAAAAAAAAAAAAAAAGAAAAATAGGTTACCAGAAAAACCATTAATCTCGTTTTTCTTTTTGTTCTTTTCCCTCGAGATTGTACTCCAATGTTGCGCGAATGTATGTTTTTGAGCTTTGATTAACTCGACGAACGGCGAGCTACCTCATATTACGCGTGCATGAAAAAAAATCTCGCGTAAAAGCACCTGCAGCGCGAGAAAAGGCGCAGATTTTGCAAGCGACTCTTTAAAGCTCGGCCGTACGCGTTATCTGGAGGAGCGTGTATATACGCGTGTAGCGATAACGCGCGGCCGTTGGCCGTCTTTTTACATCGTTTTTAGCGTCATACCGGCAAAAGGAGGGTTTTCTTTTCAAGTTGGGTGCTTTTACCATGCGTGGGTGTGTGTGCGGGTATTCATTTCGATGGGGTTTTTTGTATAACCGCCCGGCGAAAGAGGAATAATATAATATGTACATGAAATGAGCTCTCGCGATGCGCGTCATAATTAATCCGCGTAGCGATTCCGAGTGTGCCTTTTGATTGCGTGATTTTATGATATTACTCTTGTTTATTCGATATATTCAGCTGTAAAATGGACCGAAACGTCCACTTGGAGCTTCATTGAAATTTATTCAGCCCCATACGTATATATATATATATGGACTTCAGCGTGACGTATACATACCTAAAACATATTTTGAACGGAGATCAAATATATTCTGGTTTTGTATGCAATTGCATACGCCCGCCGGGCTTGCGCGTTTCATTTGATGTTATTTCGCGGGAGTGTCAATAATATAAAAGCAAAAGCTTTTTTTTCCCCCACGAGTTTGTTTGGTAAGCAAGACTTTGTTTGCATGTTTTGATTTTATTTCGGCAGTTCGGGAAAAGCAAACGATATTTAAATTCGTTGGGCTCCACGAATTGGGTTTTTTCTTTTCGAACCTTTCACCGAAACCATTGCTGTTTTTTTTTTATTTGCGATGGAAAATGTACATTTTTTTACCCATCTCTCTCGATTTTCCTGAGTTAAAGAAATCACAGTTTTGCGGTCAACAAGCTTTTTTACCTCTCGATCGAACGTACCTTGATCCACAACTACAAAACACGAGACGCAACAATGGAATTTGTCCCCTCGCAACGATAAGACAGTTTTTCCCGTCTATGTATAATCGATAAAACGATCAATCGGCCGTCGACATCGGCACCTCGTCATCCATCACCCCAGCGTAAATAAAATCTACGCACCGGTGGCAGAGGGGGAGGGGAGAAAATCTCGGTCGAGCAGAAGCCGCGACAACAGCCCCCCATAATGAGCCCGATAACGATGTCCTTCCCACGCACTAGCGCAAGGACATAAAAATAGAATAAAGCACGGCGAGAGTATAGGGACGGGAGAGGAGGAGACGCGCTCGATTGCGGTGAACTCGCGCTTGAAATGCACAGAAGCGACAACTGCGCTCGGAGGAGGGGAAAAAAAAAAAAAAAAAAGCACGGAGGTGCCGACTACGACGATGATGATGATAAAAAGAAAGCGCACCCGCGCAATCTGTACGGAGAATATTATATACATAAAAGTACGAGCCGAGATGGTTTGGGTAATGGTTGGGCGCGGAAAATTATTAGGAGCAATCTCGCGCCGAGGGTAGGGGTGAAATGCAAATTGAGCGTCGCAAAATCGGTGGGGAGGAAATGCAAATCAAACGGAAATGGCCCGGAGACGACCTCCGCACCCATATATATATATATATATATAAATCTTTCTTTTGCTATTCCTTTGTCTTTTCGAGGCCAATGATTTTAACGAACCCCCAGCCCCAAGCTTTTAAAACCTCCACCCCCTGCCCCCCTTCACTCTTGCAGTATATATACGTGTACACTTCATCGTTTATACTCTCGAGGAAGTGCATTTCCGAGCGAAAAGTTGTACGGGGCACGGCCGTATTGGATTTGTCTTGGATTCCCGGGCGACGATTGAGAGATAAAAGACACAGTCGAGGCGATCGGAGTCGGGGTGCTGTAGATATACGTATACAAAAAATGTACGCTTGTATCGTTGTTGGGAGCTAGGATATTGGCTTTTCCGGGCTCCCTCCTTTTCATCCCCCTCTCCCCGAGCACATGGGAACAAATAATATCGATTTTGTGTTTCGTTCGAGAACTGCGGGCCGTATACAGTTGAGAAAATAGATTTAAAAAAACGCGGGGTAATCTATATACGGATCTGCCTTGAGCGATAACCGGTGCCGAGGACGTTTCAACGCGCACCAGTTGAGGACTTAAAATCTAATCTTTAAATTAAAATGGGGGATCTATGCTCTATTGTTTTCCTGTTTTTTGCCTCTTTGTTTAATACACCCTTGGCAGCTTGAATAGACAGCGAAAGTGATAAATGCAACGGCGTTTGGACGCTCGCGTGAAATCATTATTAATTACCATTATTTTTCATGACGTTGAAACTCGAGGTACTCTCATATGGGATCGAAAAATCGTTAGTCCGGCCGAGTGGATTTTAAAAGCGATTAGAGCACCCCCTGGCACGTAATTGCCTTCCAAACGGTGTTTAGGGCGATTGTTAACACCTGCTGGATTTAAAAGCTCGTTTGGGCGCGTCACACGCGAACACGAAAAGTATATAACAAGTTGGGGCGCGAAATTGAAAAAAAAAAAAAAAAAAAAACACGCGTACAGCGGTCGTGCAAACATTGCTCTGCATCGCGGCGGAAAAATATACTCCGTATCGCCGAGTTCCATCAACTCCCCGGCCTACGCGCCTTTCGCACAAGATGAGAAAAGAAAACACGAGGGCCACGAAGCGAGATAAGACACGGAAGGCAAAGAGGCCCCGAATACTTATTAGCGGCCTCTGAAAACCCGATGCGCATACCAACAGCCCCGGCAATCGATACGTACACGTCGCGTCGAGAATTTTTATCAAGCGCGAGCTGTGCGTGTACATCCGAAAATCGCGAAAAGCCCACGAGCGGAAAAATCGCGAGCCGTGCAGTGTAACGTAGAGCGGTGGTGCTAAAATTAAATTACTCGCAACGAAGGAAGGAGACAAAAGCATACGTGTACACCCGGAAAATGCGTAGGATTATACATATCGGCAGTGACGCGGTTGCGCCGCTCGTCCATTTTCAAATAATACATTCAAATCAGTAGGCGCACCCCTTTGTTCCTCTCCTGGAAAGGAATCGATGCGCCGCGCGTCCGCTGAATTTATGACCCGGCCGGCCGACGTGCTTATTCCGAGAAGAGAAAATCCCAGCCCCGGAATCGAAACGGAGCATCAAAAGGCCCGCGTGTATAGCGATCGGAATCTTCGGGCCGGATGATGAAAACCACATGGGAGAGCATGAGAAAGAAAATAAAAGAAGCAGAGCGCGTGGGTTGGGTGTGACGCAACATATAACCGAGGCAATGACGCTGTTGTTGCGATAATGAACGCGGTGTAGTTATCGATTCGAGGGCCTTTCGAGCACATCGGGGCCTTTTTTTTCTAGGGAGGGGTGGAGGAGAAACATGCGGTTAAGCCTAACATTGAAACTTTAGCGATGCTCTGGAGAGATTGCACGAGCCCGAGCCGAGGGATGGTTATGCTCATAATGTACCGTGTGCGCCAAAGGAGGTCATACTTTGTTTTTCCCTCGATTTTTCGCGCGAGGCCTAGTAGGTATATGGCGTTTAAGGGCTGACAGACACGGCGTCAGCAGGTACGTGACTAAACGACGCCACCTGCAATTAAGTGCCGGCAAAAAAGTTTTGGAACGTGCTTTTTTTCAGCCTTTCAATGGGCCTACGTACACACACGCGATGGGACTGCTCAGTGGTTCGATTTTTTGTTACCCATATTTTTTCCCCTTTCAGCACGATGGTCCGTTTGTATATGTGGCTCGTGGATACATCGGATGGTTTTCGGGGTGGAGGGCAGGGAATTTCGGTCGGTGTGTTTCGTTCGTTCGAAAAGAATTCGGCGATTGGTACGAGCTATCCGATGAACGAAGAATTCGAATACCATCGGTCGCCTTTTTTATTGCTGCTGTACCTACTGCTACGTGTGCGTTTATGGAATAGTTGAGTTGTTGGCGAGGTTTTTAGGGGGTGAGAGTGGAACACGAGGGTGCTTTGTGTGTTTGGTTTTTTTTTTCTTTTTTTTTTTTTTTTTTTTTTTTTTTAGTTTGAATAATCATGTCGATTTTCAGGGATATATATTGTACGCACCTCGATGCCGGACTGCAAGTTGATCGGTATGTCGATGAGTTTGAGGTCGTTGCACTGGGCCTGCAGCAGACCGTACGATCTGACGTAACGGCACTTTTTCAAAGGTATCTCCGGGTCCATCAGCAGCATCGAGCCGGCCCCTGCTCGGCCCACCCGCTCGCTCAGCATCAGGAGCACCAACAGTAGCGCATTGAGCGCTAAGGCGCGTTTGCCTGCAACACACGATATTCGTGGAAATAAAAATTATTTAATCATCGTTATGGGGGGTATGGAACTATGTGAAGAAAAATTACAAAGTAGAAAAGCGTATTTTCCGTTTTTTTTTTTTTTTTTTTTTTTTTTTATTGTTCGCTTCGCCCAAGTTGTTTTTTTTTTTTTTTTTTTTTTCTTTTCTTTACTTCACCAAAGTTTATCCATCCTTGGTTGAAAACCCCGTTATCGCTCGCTTTCACCGAACGCGTAAAAGTAGAAAGTAACCAGTTTTATCCAGTAAAGGAATACAGGGGCCAAACTTTGAGGTGTGTACAGCAGCGTTTGGTTGATTTTCATTCCACTAAAGTCGAGCTTTTATTGCCTTTTTTTTCCCTAGTCTTCTTATAGTCTCAACAGTAAATGTAATGCTTACGTTCTAATACAATGTTTCGAGTATAACGTACATTAATAATTCTATTATAATTCAATGGGCACGTGCTCAGCCACATGCGTACATTCATACAGGATTTAAGGTCGTTATTAAATATTTTTCTTCAGGATATGTCAAAATCTGAACCTTTGATATGCGAGAGAAAACGTTAACAAGAAAATCCATGTGATTTCTTAAATTTTTCTTTCTTTTTGTTTTACCACGTCATTTTTATTTACTAGACGTACTAAACACGTGTAACGACAATCTTAAAATATACGCCGAAAAAAGAAAAAAGAAAAAGTAGATGACACATCCTGTTTCGTCAATCTTGCTTCGAGTACAGTAATCGGTACATATCTGAAGACACGTTTTTGATTTTTATTCGTCGAGGACTATTGGATATATTTTTTTGTATAGGAAACGCATGTTATATCGTACAAAAGTGAAAAGCGCAGGGTGGAACGTTTTTTGGTTGATTTTTCGCCGTACAAAAGTTCGATGCAAACAACGGAATACGATTCGCATGTGCGAGATATATTTATTTTCTTAAAAAACATCTTTAAAATCAGTATGGAAACAATTGATTTTCATACTTTATAAACATTTTCCAAAATTCGATAATATAGTTTTAAAATTTAGGTAATCAGTAGATATTATTGCAATTGTCGTTAATGATATTTTAATTTGTCGATAAAATTTTCTTACAATTATACTCTGCACGAAAAACAGATCCAACAAACTGTGTATAATGCCACATTCATCACGACAATCCAAGTGTAAATTATCATCTTAAAATTTGTATCGATAATTATTTATATGTTATGTATGTACAATTTTTGATTCTTTATAATTTATGAATCGATAATTCCGTAAAATTAACATATACAATAGAGTAAACTCTCAATGCAATATGTATAATATCGTTTAAAAAATTAATTTACACATAGTCCTTAAATTACAGATTTTTCGAACAATCAAATCTCAAAAGACTGCATCAGAATGTTTTTTTTTTTTTCCCATGTAACTTTGGCGGAGGCATTACGAACGATAAATAATTTACATCATCATCATTAATATAATTGTGATTATTTATAAATTCCTTTCAGTGACATAGACATTTCGAGATACGATTAACACGATAGCTTTAACAATGTTCTTAACTATATATTTTACTTTGATTTCGCTAATTTTCGTGATTATTATTAAACCATGTAAAGCTTAGTTAATATGTAAGTGTTTGTATTATAATGTATGAATTCGCAAATCATGAGCACACCTAGAGTAGTTACAGCTTATGATTGTATTATCTTACACGCGTAGCCGACAAAAATATTGAGATTCGTTCGTATAATCGTTGAATTTCGGTTAAGTATAACTCAAGCAGATTAAAAGAAAACTTGTCGATTTAAGTACCCCTCGCGTAACTGATTAGTTAACAGCAAACCACATACACACACATTCTCGCCCACGAGATACGACGAACGGACACCGGAACAACGAGTCCTATCCCGTTCGAATGCCTCCCCCAAAGTATACCCGAAGCCAAAAGAAGGAGCCCCCCCCCCGATTTACGATTGTTCGCGAATCGGCTCCTTGTTGAGCAGCTGCTCGGTGTTGGCGTTGTTGGCCGCGTGTATCTGCTGCTCCTTGAGCAATTGCCGGCGTTTGCCCCGGTCGCGCTTGTGCATGCAACAAAGTGCGACGAATATGCAGAACATGAAGGCGATGATGCACGAGGCTATCCAGATCCAGGCGGAGCGAGCCTTTTGGGCCTCGGCGCGGTCGCGCAGGCTCAGGAGGCAGTTGTTGTGGAGGCTCAAGGTGCGGTTCGGGAAGTCGCGGGGCGAGTTGTACACGCAGTACTTCTCCATGCCGGCCGGGCAGTCGATGTTGGATTTCAGCTGCGAATGTCAATATGTTAACTCATTTTATGGATATTTTTCACGGAATTTTATTCAAACGGCAACTTTTTTTCAACATATCAATCGCTGAGCTTGAGTCCTCGCGAGTTTACGGGAAAACTCTATTTTTACAAAGTGAATGGTGTGTTTTATCGCATAGCGTGACAAACAACGTACGTAAGTTGGATTAGAAAGAAAAAAAAAAAAAAAAAAAAAAGTTTGTACAGTAATTATAATATTGCGTGGCATAGTTATTTTGATCAAATTACTGGAGCACAACGAGCCAAACGAATGAAATGGCCTTCCGATAATTAGGCGACGTGACACCGTTTGACGAGTATAAACTTGAAAACCGAAGCGGTCAATGATTATACAGAGAAATTGTCGGTGGGAAAGTCGAGTCAAAAGCAAACTTTGTTGGCAAATTATTGTTATCCATCATCATTTGTTGAGCATCCCCCAATTTAACCGGTAATCCCCCAGTTGTACAAATATCGATCGGTTTTAAAGCCCGTAACTAATAGCAAAAGTTCTCGGGGGGTATTTGATAGCGAATAACCGATAAATCCCACCCGATCCGTTATTATTAAATCGACGACAATTTCAAGGAATTATCGGCCAAAGTTTCTGCACCGTATGCATCAGGGGCTGCTACGCAATACATATGCACAAAGGAAAAAAACAAAACACTGAGGTATAGAAAAAAAAAAGTGATTGGACTGACCGTGATCTTTCTGAACTTGCACCACTCCTTGAACTCGTGGCACTCGCAGCTTGTGGCGTTGAACCTCACGGGGTTACCCGTGAGATCCAACAGTTGGAGGGAGCAAAGGGGCGCCACGTCGTCGGCCGTGATCTTGGCAATGTCGTTGTACGATACGTTGAGCAGCGTGACGGTGACCATCGACTTGAGCTGGGGCAACTGGGTGAGCAGGTTGTCGGCCAGGTGGAGCCATTGCAAGGGCGACTTGACCCCGTCCACGTTGAAAACCTCATCCTTTAGCTTGTTGTGGTTGAGGTAGAGGTTGCGCAGGTACTGCAGCTGGAATATGGTACTCGGGAGCTTGAAGATCCCGTTTTTCGACAGGTCGAGGACCTCGAGGTAGTAGGTGGGCTCGAACGCTCGGTCGGCCACCTGCTGCACAAAGTTGTCCTGTAGGTACAGGTAGCGCAGGTTCGTGTACTTGGAGAGCGAGTCGTTGCGCAACTCCCGGATACGGTTCTCCTTGGCATCCAGTACCTATTTTTTTTTTTTTTTTTTTTTTTTTTTTTTTTTTTTTTTTTTTTTTTTTTNAAAAAAAAAAAAAAAAAAAAAAAAAAAAAAAAAAAAAAAAAAAAAAAAAAAAAAAAATAAGAATGACTATCATTTGAAAACCCTGTACAATAGACTTATTTAGCTGAGCAGTCCAATGCGTATCAGATTAACTTTGAGCTATTGGAATGTAAAGATGTACATACTTATACCCTGTGGTTCTAGTTTGTATATATAAATGTACATTTGCAATAGCTCATTAGCAATCTGGACTGGAAAGTAAAAATCTAAAGAATTTTCGTTGAGCAATGAAAATCTATGAAACGCAATTGACGGGTGAAACACGAGTTCTTGAAAATTACCTTGATTCCCCATTCGTGGGCCGATTTTTTTAACTTCTCGCACTCGCACTTCTCATCCTCCTTACTGTAGTACAAAGAGCTCACGCTGAGCTTCTCCAGTGAACACATAGACGCCAGATTATCGATGGGAATCTCACTAATTATGTTGGAATTGAGATTTAGCTCTGTGACTTTGTACAAAGACTTGAAGCTTGGCATCTTTGTTATCATATTCCACGCCATACTTAGGCTCTCTATGGGTGAGGTGGCCTCTACGGACTCGAACGATTCGTTGTACAGTATATTATGGCTCAGATCAAGTACACGTAGATTCGGAAGAACGAAGATGTTGTACGGCACACTTGTAAGACGATTGTGCCGAAGATCGAGGATTTTTAAATGTTGGAGAGGTGCAAAAGCATCCTCGTGGATCTTCATTATTGTATTATTTTGGAGGTAGAGCTCTTCCAGTCGAAGGTAATTGGCAAAAGTCTTGTTGTCGAGATTCATGTTTTTGTTGCTGACGCTCAATACCTATGGAATCGATATTTTTTATGAAACATCAGAGATTCAAGGAAATGGCTCAAGTGTATACGTACCATTATCGTTTTGTTCAAATCCTGGGGAATGAGATTGTATGTACTGTCGTTGCAAAAAGCTTTCAACATATCGTTTGATCGTTCGTATCGACATTGTTCCGAATCAGCGATCACAAGTGGTGTGATCATCAGCACTAGTAGCCATGTGAAATGCATTTCTAAAATTTTTGTTGTACATTAAAACTATCGTCTAAGAAAAATGTAACTGTTTAGTGTTGAATAAAGGGGGATTTCGCGACTTTGGATGGAAAAAAATTGTGTTCACAGCGAAGACAGTACTGACATTCGTGAAAAAGTGTAGCATGTAATACTTTTGATTATTAAAGAAATCATTAACAATTGGAAAATTGAGACAGCTCTTTAGAGCATCGAAACACGATAAATTATTTATCATTGATCACAAGGTACGAAATTTCATTATTTAACATTACGAAAACACGACGGATTTTTTTGTCTTTACAAAAAAAATTACAGGTTTAACTACTTACGATTATTTAATTAAATATGAAATATAATATTCTACCACTTACTGAAGCTTTCGACTGAGCTGTTGAGGCGTCCGATTCCGTCGTTGTTTAAAATTACTACTAACTCGACGTATACGGGTGCAGTGTATAATTTAGATAAACTAAAATGACTAAGTATTTTTTTAATCAAATAAGGCTTTTTAAAAAGTTGATAAGTAGACACAATATATGTGTATACAATGCAAAAGTTTAGGAATTCAAAATTTCAGGCTATACCTGATTTCAAAAGAGTGACGCGTCTGCGTGGAAATATTCACGACAATCACGAGAAATGTTGTGAAAATTAAAACAATTAAGGCTTGTCAGTACAAAATAAAAAAATTATTCACTATATAGTTCAGGAAAAACAAAAGTAAAACTGAACTGGTAACTTCCACCTTGCTTCTGTTCTTGTGGACTAGTGACTAACGGACTAACATACGGCCGGCTTAAATACCATGATTGTCCACGATTTTCTGTCTAAATGACTTAGCGTTATCGGTTCCTGGTAAAATGCAATATTACAGAAAAATTTCTCCATTTGTCAACCGATTCTGGGACTCCCCTGTTCTACATTTTTTCGAATCGACGCTTTTCTTTCCCCAACTTTTGCACCATGGCTCGGTTATTATTTGATCATCGTCTAATCAGGCCGCGTATTGTACTTATCATTGTTTTTTTTAAAAGCTTTTATATTATTAAATAGATAACTGAGAGGAAAATCGTACTATTTTGAAAAGGTATTTTAAAACGCATCATCACAGCTATAGTTATATTCAAAGTGTTTCATCCAAACTTAAAAAACATGTCACTTCAACTACTTTTTTGCTAGACTCATTATTCTCAACAATTTGTTTCAAACAACACGTTCTTTAGAGCATTTTTGAAACTGCATTTTGAGATACACACTGTTTATTAATTAACAAATAATGTTTGAGGATGTATTTGTAGAATACTATCTATATTTTAAAAATAGCAGTAGACGCATGATTATTGCTAAATTCCTTTTATTATTACTTTTCTGACTTCTGTTCGTATTTTTTCGAAAAGTATACAGTCATTACATACGTTATAGGTTTACGTCGTATGTACGTCGATGGGTAAGGCACTTAGGAAGTAGATAATCTATATCTAGTTTTTTTCATATAATTAAAAATTATTCCAAGTGAACTCTGGATTCTCAGGATTTTTAAGAAAACCTGAAACCTGGATAGCTCAATCAAAACTTAACCGCAGTTTTCATTGGGAAGCACGTGATACAATTATAGGCAAAAAAAGGTGAATTTTTTTTTTTACCAGTATAATTGTGTAAAAAGGGTACCAACGAACAAAAGGTATACTCATGGTATAAAAAAAAAAAAAATTAAATTGGTGTATTACTTGTGCAGGGTTCTGCTCATCACCACATCGAAGAGTAAGTGTGAGGAAAGAGGTGCCAAGTAGTACTTAAATATAGGAGAAAAAAAAAATAAATAAAATTCGAGTTTATATGTATCTATTTCATATATGCTCTCGTTTTATATTTTGTACATTTGTCAAGTTTTATTTTCATGTATTGCTTTATAATGGATTAAATGTATTATAAAAATTTTATCGGTGCAAGGCTACTTTAGTAATGACAAAAACATTTTTAGTTTCTTTTTGATAAAAACTTTTATTATTACATCGAATCCCAGTGATTACACGTACATCATTGTCAAACGTGAAGTGATACATGACGGTGTAATGGTGTGAGGCACAAGTAAATAAATTTTTTCAATGTAAAATGAAAGTACAATATGTATCAGTAATCTTTTCACCATTGAAGTATAGATTTATAAATTTAGATATTTTTTGTAGTGCGTAGTTTAATTCATCAATTTTTTAAACAAATACATCCAAGGTATGTATCGGACGACATTCAATTTTTTTACGAATGACTAATCATTTGTCAAAACGAATAATTTTTTTTTTAGAAATAGAAAAAGGAAGCTTATCCAACCAACTAAACTAACGTACTTGTTTTTCGAATTCGTTGAATACATCTGAAATATACATATTTTTTGTTTAGTGTATGGTAACTAAATAGATAAATCATCGCGAATTTATATTTGGCGCTCCATCGAATGATTTTGTTAATACTTGAATTAAAAAAATAAATAATACGCGTGTTTACTTAAGTAACAAAGAATATTTCGCGAGAACGCACATAATAAGTACATTAAAAAAAAAAAAAAAGAAAAAAAGAAAAAAAAAGCTGTTGCTGCGTTGTGTCATAAATGATCCATTGCGACTAAAAATACAATACAGTCATAAATTATTAAATGAGGCTAATAGTACAGTAATTCGTGTACATGTGTCATCTCACCTCGTTCAAGCGTCATTCTCAGCTTAAAAGTAGTTAATCTACGCGTTATTTTCGTACATATATATGGAAATGACGGACACGATTTACGTTTTATTTCTGTATTATTCTTCAACTTACGCACTAGTGACTATTTAGTTCCGACGCAATTATCTCGCTTCGACGCTCCGTATAAAAAATAACACACGAAAAACTCACCCTCGCCTGCAGCACACGAAATCCGCTCACATGTATTGTTGCGCAAGTTGCTGTTTTTTTTTTTTTTTTTNACGGCCGTTAATAAATACAAGTCTTCTTCGTTACGTGTAAGAATACTATTGGGTGACGGAGGGATTTTTTTTTTTTTTTTTTTTTTTTCTAGTGTAAAACAAAAACGTAAGCTAAATCTAGCCAAGTCCACCAGAACATTGGCTGTAAAACCATGGATCAAAAAATTCAATTTTACACGGGGAAACTGGTAAATTGATATTTTTTGAGAGTCTACGTCTTTGCGTGAGGAAAAAAAAAAAAAAAAAAAACGCATCGAGTATTAACGAATCGTGTCAATGTACAAAAAACCCCACTAAATTTAACGTGCAAGGAAATGAAAGAAAAGGAAAAAAAAAGGTGTAAACTTAATTAATTGTCACATCGTTGCGGCTGAAGCGACCCCGTCCGCGCTACACGGTGGGCCGCAAACGTATATGGATTCTCGGGTAATTTTATATTTTATTCAAATGACGAGGAGTGATCTCTTCATGCATATACACGCCACACACAGACACACACCCCCACGTATACGTGTGGACGAGGAGAAGGAAGCGGAGAGGGTGGGAAGGTGAGATGCGTATCCACTATACGCCACTTGTGGGGCTTGGCACGATCGTCGTCGATTGAAGCTCGAAAAATGCTACCTCTATTTCTCATCGCGTCTCGTTCAAAATAGGCGGGGAAGGAGGAGGCGAGGCTCCGATGATTCAATACCTATACGGAATACCGAGTATTTCATCAAGGATAGAGCGGAAAAAGCGAGTAGTCGAGAGAGAAAAATAAATTTCCATCCGCAGTGCATCCGAAACGTAATGGTTGTGTAACGAACGGCCCCTGATCAATCGAGGAAGGAAAAATAAAAATAAAAAAAAATCCCCAACAGGCCTGTCTCGATCGTCGTGGAAAACTTCCGTCCTGGGCAGGTGTAGTCGAGTTACAAATCCACTCGAGTGAGTTTACTTTATTTTGACAGGTCCGACTGCACCATCCCCCCCCCCACCCACGTGTACGTACGTATCCTTCCTTCCTTCCTCTCGATAGCCCACCTAAAATGCCCCGAGTCGTCCTATTACCTCCACACCCCAAACACAGAGCCAGTTCCATTTCTCTCTCGAGACGACGGTTTATACACCAGTGGCATTTATTCAACCGTGAAGCTTACACGTGTCTTGGAAACGAGGGGGAGGAGATGAAGAAAAAAAAAAAAAAAAAAAACTACACTGGGAGGGAAAACGAGTTGTGAGACGAATTCGATACCTACGCAGCCCGTGATCGATATGCGGGCGCGCGATAGATGTGCTGTTGTTGTTGGCCTATATCGGGTTATCGTTGGATCTAAGGTGACTGCGGAGACGAGCCAGAAGACACGATAATAACATGGCACGGGGATAGTGCCGAGGACGTGGAACGCGTGTCGTTTGCTTCCACTAGTGTTTTTTTTTTTTTCCTTTTTTTTTTGTTGAGCAGCCCTTGGGATGTTTTTTGCACCGTGACGTGCGTGGCTATTCTTTTTTTCTTTTTTTTTTTGTCCACCGGGTGGGATGGACGAGTTTGGTTGTTGTTATTTTTTGCCGGGGGGCTGTGTACGAGGGGGATGTAAGTTTGAGGATGTGCCGTGTTTTTCCGAGGGTATGTGTATACAGGGCCGTGGGTGAATTACGGCAGGTACGAGAATATTACGTTTTGTTCCTTTTTTTTCTTTTTCCTTTTTTTTTTTTTTTTTTTTTTTTTTTTTTTTTTTTTTTTTTTTTTNNNTTTTTTTTTTTTTTTTTTTTTTTTTTTTTTTTTTTTTTTTTTTTTTTTTGTGAGGGAGGGAAGGGCTGGTCGGTGACACTCTTCATACGTTGTTTTATTTCGAGGGGTTTTGTTCGCCGGTTTTTTCCTTTTTTTTTGCAGTGTAGGAGGGTCGTTTGGATGTCCAATGATAATGAATTATTTTAAACTTCAGGCCGTGCAATTAATTTCATTAGAAATTTCGCGACCCGCGGAATGTCGCGCTAACCAGAGAAAGTACGCGGGCGACAAAGTTTCGGGCTAATTATTTCGGGTAATTTTAA